TATACAAGATAATTTTTATTGTAATTTTTTTTATTATCATGCTTAAATATGATTGTCCTTTTTCATAACAAGTGTTAAACTTGTGCACTTATATTTGTGATTGATAGCTAAGCAATAACGGAATATACTCCAGGGGTGTCGACCGACAATTCTTTGTCAGAAAATTATACGTGTAGTTAGGTAAAAACCATTAAAAATAATATATATATATATATATAGACACTCCTTAGCTTCTACACAATTTTACTTCTTTATATTTTGACACTCCTTGATCAAAATTTTCAATCTGCCACTGTAGCTAAGGGAGCACCCACAACATTGAAATCCTGGATCCGCCACTGATTCTGACATTATATCTCTGTTAGATTGTTAAAGAACTTTTCTTATGACCTCTTTATAGGTTTGTTATATTGAGAATACAATGGTATATTAGTGTTTATAATGCAAGAGTTTATGCTGTCAAATGTATTTTATATTTGTTTGTCTAATTACTAATTTGTTTGCTGCTAGCTAGAAAGGAATGATTGTTTTCTTCAGCTTTAGGTTATGTGATTTCCCCCTTTTATTGTGATATATAAAATCCACAAATATGTTATTGAGTTTAAAAATATATTGTTCTTTTTATGGTATTACTTGGGTCACAAGTAAACTTTGGCCATAAGTAAGAAATTATTCTTACATTCTGCCACTTGGCTCAATGACCATATAACATTAATATTTCATAAACATTAGTTGCACATACAATACATCTCTTCTATAATGTTCATCATACATACCACAATATAACAAACTATTAATGCGAGTTATGGCGATTGTACATAAATTTTAGGCTACATACTTCCTTTTATATACTACTACATTAGCAACTTATCATACTAGGTTCATAAGCTATAGAACATATAACATTCCAGTCCACAATAATGTCTCATAGATCGACTTATCTTGTAATATCTCAAAACAATAATGTATACACCATTATGAGAAATAAGAAATTCATTAATGTATATCAGAAACACATAATTGAGCTGAGAGTGTAAAAACATCATAAATGTATCAATCAAAAGTACAACCAAGACACATTCTTTGAACATGTTCTTTTAGAACTTTCTGGTAATTGAACGAGATCCCAGACTTTGTTGTATTCCATGAATTTTAACTCTTTATTCATGACATCAATCCATTTATCATACTCAGTGCTTTCTATGGCCTGTGAAAATGAAACCAAATCTTTATTAATTCCAATGTCAAAATCTGACTCTTGCAAATAAATCACATAATCATCTGAAATGACCGATTTTCTTAATGGTACTGTTTGTCTTAAAAATAAATCACATAATCATCCTAAATGACCGATTTTCTTTTTCATTAAGATTTTCTTAATGGTACTGTTTGTGGTTCATTTACGTCAGATACTTGTGAGTTAGTTCCATTTTGAAGTGTTTCACCCAAATGTTGTTCAACATTGTTAAAGTGTTCTTCAACAAGAGGAACGACATTTGTTATTGGTGTGGAAGTAGATACATTCATGGGCAATGGAATATTTACCCTTACCTCATTAATTTCCATACGTTGTCGTTCAACACTCTCACTAACTTCACCACTCTCAATGAATTTTGTATTACCGGTTTCAACAATTCTCGAACTATGATTTGGATAGTAAAACCTATACCCTTTAGATTTCTCTGAATAACCAATAAAGTAACCATTTACCATTCAAGAATCTAATTCTTTTAATGTGGATTATAAACTCTAGCTTCCGCTTGACAACCCCAAACATGAAGGTGTCTTAAACTAGGCTTCCTTCCAGTCCACACTTCAGAAGGGGTTTTTGGAACTGCCTTACTAGAAATCCTGTTCAATAAATATACAGCGATTTTAAGAGCATACATCCTCAATGATTTGGGTAATGAGGAATTACTCATCATACTCCTAACCATATCTATAAGTGTTCGATTACGCCTTTCTGCAACACCATTTTGTTGAGGTATTCCTGACATAGTACATTGTGCACATATGTTGTGTTCGATTACGCCTTTCTGCAACACCGTGTTCGATTATGCCATGTTCTTCGAGGAATTTTGCAAATGGACCTGGACATTGTCTTGATTCATTATACTTTCCATAATATTCACCACCTCTATCTGACCTAATGATTTTCACTTTCCTATCTAAATGTCTTGCAACCTCATTAACGTACACTTTGAGAGCGTTGGTTGCTTGACATTTTTCTTTTAACAAATAGATAAATTCATAACATAAAAAATCATCGATAAAGGTGATAAAATATTTTTCTCCACCAAAAGATGGAACATCAAAGGGTCCGCAAATATCAGTGTGTATAATTTCAAGAAGTTGAGTGCTACTTGTTGCACCTTTCTTGGTATGCTTGGTTTGCTTTCTTTTAATGCAATCCAAACATATATCAAGATCAATAAAATTCAGATTCGAAAGAATCTCATTCTTTACTAATTTTTTTAAATTTTTCTTTGGATAAATGACTCGAACATTTATGCCACAAATAAGCAGAACTTTCATTTAGTGAACTACGTTTAATTCCAACATTTTGATTAATAGTGAGAAGGGATTCAGTCTTAACTCCTCTTGAGTAAGCATACTGGAATGACTTCCTTGTTTCTTAAGTCTTGACTCCTTTGAGTAAGCATACTGGATAATTCACTAACATCTCACTTATCCTTGATAGTGTTATAGTTAATTTGGAAAGGTCCATACTCAAGAGGGAACGAGTTTAGAATAAACTGAACCAAAAAGGTGTCATCCACTTTCATCTCCAAGGTCTGAAGTCTTGTTGCAATATTAGTCATCTCGATGATATGATTTTGCACACTACGCGACCCATCAAACTTCATGGTCGTGAGTTCAGCCATTAGTGTACCAACGAGAGACTTATCAACAGAACAAAAATGTTATTCCACAAACTTCAGGTATTCCTCGTCACTTTCTATTTGTGGAATAGTACTTTTAATGTTGTTAGCAACAATCATTTGCATAAACATAAGGCTTAATCTGTTAGAGCATTCCCATGATTTATGAAAAAACTTGGTATCCTCACTGCTCTTATCGGTAATGGCAGTAGGTTTGTTATTCAGCAGAGCCAACTCAAGATCCATCACACCTGAGTGGAACTGGACTTGTTCATGTTATTCAGAGAAGTTCAATCCATTGAACACAGTAACAAATGAAGAATGTGAATGAAGAGGAATAACTGCAAAATAGATATACATGCTCACAAAATCAAAAAATAATGTGAATTCAGTAAAGCGATAAAAATATATCGTAATTCTCCTTTGGGTAGATACTACGACACATTATCATAATTTAAATGTCATTTTTATCTTCAATAGGTGATTGAATATTTTTAATCAAACATATACAACATCTTTGGATATACAATATATGTTTGACTAAAAATATTAATTTACCTCATAATTTTCACTATTCGTAGAATGATAGATTCACCTTTGGGTAAATTCTTAAGTTCTGGCAATAGTAAAAGTCAATTTATGTATTTATTTTTCAATAGAGGCATTTAATTAACATTCATAGATAAATGACAATTTTATGAATGCATATTTTTCATAACCATACTAGTTTGGCCACTGTGGTGACTAGCAAACTATATGAATACAAATGCACACATAACATCATAAAATTTTGTGCATGTGAATAATTTTATACATTTTAGTTTGGCCACTTTGGTGACTAACAAACTATAGAAACATAATACATGTGATTATAAATTAATATTATATGTGTAGACGTTAATTTCTCTAGTTTGGCCACTTCGATGACTAACAAACTATTTTGCACAAAGTACACACATATTATTTATTGCTTAGTATAACGACCACTTTAATTTATTGCACAATTTAAAAACAAAACATAATTATTACATTATGGGAAGATTAAGATTTTTCAGAAATTGTACAAATTAGATTTTGCTAACAACACTTTATTAACACAAGAGTCCAAACACCTTAAATAGTCAAGCTCAAAATTACGCTACTACAAAAGAATTCAACAATAAATTTGAACATAATTTTATTGGACAAAATTAAACTTTCAAGAGATTAATTTCAAATCACAAAACTAAATCCAATAAATATCACAAAAACTTACACAGCGATGAAATTTTAGCAGGTGTATAAGTTCATAGGCGTAAAGAATTACTCCTATTAACAACTATGAGTACGTATAGTGATTTTGTCAATGTTAATATGCTTGAGGTGATGTCATATCTTTACACTTAATTAATCTCATAATTTGTCATTCTAAAATCAACAGTGTTCCACAATGAACTTCAATAAGTTTGTCCCTTCAAATCTTTATTTTAGACGAATTATTATAAAGTTTCTTTCACTTTTTTTCCTCTATTTTCAATGATACTTTTCTAGTCAAAACGGTAAAATAGAATACTATGTATATATGTAGAACGATAAAATACTTTTAGATTATTTTCACTAGTTAACATATTCATTAATATTATCAGTTAAAACAATTCAGGCTCGGATGCCACATGTAAAATTAAGACTTTAATACACATCAAGATCTTGAACACGATAACTTTACATAGAGATTGTTAGGGGCACATACCCGATGCGGAAGACATCATTACAAAGAGAAGCGGAACCGTTAGTCGTAAATTAGTTTCTACCTCCTTGCCCTAGCCTTATGTTACCACAGCCGTTAGCGATGGAATTAATGTAGAGAATATGTGGTTACCCTAATGGGTGGAGGGAGGACCAATTTATAGAGGTTATGACTTGATCTGGTACGTCCATCAAGTACCCAATGTACGGACGAGATCTATTCTTCATTAAATATTATTTATGGTATTATTTGGGTCACAACTTAACTTGGATCATAAGTAAGAAATTATTCTTTGCATCTATTTTGATTTTATGTGTTGTAACTAGATGAAGGCACGTGCCCGATACATATGAAACGACCATAGTTAAGAATGCTTGTTAGGCAACATCTGATAAATCAGTAAAGCAGTTGAAGTTTGTTTCATAGAAAAACTGCTAATACATGGATACACATTGTATATATGTTATGTTCAAGATTTCACCGTCTATGTATGTATTTACAGATTTACAGAAGTCGTCGCAAAAGACAAAGTAATCCATTACTATGTTGGCGGCAATCATCTTGACTATCTTTATTACCGTTGTAATTTTGTGACATTTGAGGCTTTCTGTTGAAGTAGGAGAAATGTCTTTAGTAGTTGATGTAGAGTATATTTGCAACAGTATAATAATATCAATAAGAGTATTGGGCCCTCTCTTCAAACTAACTTTTCAAAAAGATAGTGCAGGGACCAAATGTAGCAGTCAAATTTTCTGCAAAAACAAATGAGAAGAATGAAAGAAAATACACAGCTATAAATAAAATATCTAAATATCTGTTGGGGAAAACACTATGTATTGATTTAAGATGTAAGAATATTTAAAGGTACAGTAAGACAGCTACTATGCATTGGCATGCATAAATCACAACTTTAAAACTATAATCTTTTCCTCTTTATATAAGTTCCCAAACCACAATATCAATAATGAAGAAATTAGAAGATTCAACTATTGAGCAATGTAAAATAAATGAAATTCAGATACCTGTTAAATGAGTTGCGACCAATTCTTCTTCAACTTCAAGTATAACGGGCTGGGAAGATCACTGAAAGGCAACGATGCGTCAATCTTCAATTCCGGAATGAGCGATCAAATTGCACCTTCAAAATGTTCATGAAACGTACAAAAGAGATCATTTCATGTAATGGAGGTGACCAAGGTTTCCTTAATGAAGTATTTGTATGGTGGCATAAGTTGCCTAGAAGGGTTAATTTCTTAAAGAACTTTTGGTCAAATAATTCGAATGAGGTCAGCGTTAAGAATCAACTATTCGGGGCAGATCCTCCAAAGGTATACTCTATACATTATCTCGGGTTAAAGCCATGGGTGTGTTATAGGGACTACGATTGTAACTGGGACATAGGTGATCAACGTATTTATAAATTATGCTAGTGATATCGCGCACGAGACATGGTGGAAACTACATGACTCAATGGATGAGAGTTTACAAAAAATTTGTGGGTTGACAGAGCAAAGGAAAATTGAATTAGAATGGGATAGAAAATTGGCTGGAAAAACTGGATTTAAAGATGAACATTGGAGGATTAATGTTACTGATCCTAGAAAATTTTCTTGATTTTTTTTTTCATTTAATATGTATGCTAATGCTACTATATATAGTAGTACTTTTGCACAGAGTACTTATGAACATGGCCTTCATGCACTATTTATTCATGTGTATATAGAGGATGCTTGTTCTTCATTTTTGGAACATTATGACTGCAGAGTCACTGTTAAGATGATATGCTCCTTTTCGGGGTTAGGGTTCAATCAAATTAACACTAATTGCTCAAATTTCGATAGAGTTAATTCCCTTTTGATTGAAAAACATACAAATTCCTTGATATTCATTCTTATTTTCAAGATTGCTCTTTGAGCTCACTTCACCTTTTTCATCCGGGTATTGAAATTTTTGGCAGATTTGTATTTTCAATTTGCACTAATTTGATTGCTTTTCGGATTTTTACCAACAAAAAAATGAAAACTTTTTGTAATTCTATATAGAGAAAATGGTCTAAACCCCCCCCCCCCAACCTATACCCGAAATCTCAACTACACACTCCAACTTAAAACGCAATAACCACGCACTTGACACGTGTTTTTCACCAATTAATCCTTTTTAATTATTTTTTCTCCTTCTTCTTTATCCTTTCTTCTTCAATTATTTTTCAACCTTAATTCTTTGTGAAAGTTTCGATTTAAAATAATATTGAGGGATTTGAATCCAACTTGGGAGATTTTTTATTTTTTTTTGGTGAAGATTTAATTACCTAGTGTAGTTGTAGAGAAATGTAGACTTGCCACCTTCTCCATCCTTTTCTTCAACCCCGCCTCCTCCATCCTTTTCTTCAATCCGCGGCGGCAGATTTTGAATAGAGATCTAATCCTTGGTTTCCGCCTTTTATCACCTTCCATCTCTTCACCATTAACTCTTTCACTTTCTTCACTTGCTCAAAGTTTTAACCCAAAAAATATTTGTTGTCTTGTCAATCAAATTGAATACAAAGTTTAGTCTTCTATAACAAATAAATTTAATCTAAACCCTCTTTAGTATATAAAGTAGTTGAATTTATATTCAACAGTAAAAAAAAAGTATCTTTCTTCAAAAAGTTAAGAACATTGTTATGTAAAGACACAAAATCTTATCAAGAGAAGAAAAAGTTTGATGGTTTGGTTTAGATTACAAATTTATTCTTTACAAAGATTAAAAATTAATTAGGAGATGAATTCCAAAAAAGATTGCCGAAAAATCTTCAAACTCCGACCATGGCAAAATTTAGATCAGAAAAATAGCTTAGATAATAAGAAAGAGAAAGAAAACAATGAAAAAAGAAAGAGAAAAAACGATCAAAAAGAAAAATAAGATAAAAAATAGTCAGCTCGAATGCACTCTCCGTGCTAACTCAGCATTTCAGGAGTTATTTATTTCATTTTTAAATAGTCCAGGGAGTGATAGGACACCCGTAAAGTTGGAGTGTGTAGTTGGAATTTCGGATATAGGTTGGAGGGGTTTTGGACCATTTTCTCTTCTATATATATGTAAAACTAATAACGACCAAAACTTCAAAACCTCATAGAATTAATTGTCAAATGCATAGGAGTAAATAAGAAACTCCATCTTCTTTTTGTTCTTTGCTTATTTAATAAACCCATTCTACTAAATCTAAAAAATTGTTATTCTTCCTAAAGATCAAAATTGAATTTGAAGATGAAGAGGATTGAAAGGAAAAAATACGAAACTTTACAAATTCATTCAATCAGAAAAAAAATAGTGAAAAAAAATGATGATGACGAAAAAATTGAAGGTTAAGAGACCAAAAAAATAAAGAAGTACCTGAGAATTGCAGCAGTTGAATGGATTTGAGAAAAATGGAAGATGAAGAAAGTTTGGAGATTTGGCAAATGAATGGATTTTGATGAAAGGGATAAATCGGAAAAAATTTATGGTGGTAGAGGCACAAGTATGACATGGTGTGTGAGGGATTATTTTTTAATAAAAAATGTGTGAATCCTATTTTTTTATTTACATTGTTATTTCTCTCCTACCTTTACTTAATTTTTAGGCAGAACACATAAGCGGCACCTTGAACTTGTAAGGATTTTCCTTATAGGCACCTTAACAAGGACTCCTTCCTATTGAACATTTAAACCACTCAAAAAGTGTACCTATCAGACACACCTGTCTGACTTGGCACTTATCGTGTGAGGCACTCCTTTTGAGCGCGTGAAGTGAGAAAAAAAAAGTTGATGTGTTTGATTGGCACACTTTAACATGCTTAACGGTCAAAATCTTCCTCTTTTATTTATCCAACCCTAGATTCTTCCCCTTTTTTTATTTCTCATTTCTTTCTTCTCCACATCTCACCATTGTTGCTGCTACATTGGAGATCAAAAAAAATTCTTCATTCGTCTTCTTCACAGCAAAGGAAATGTCCAATTTGTCGATTTCAACTTCTTCATATGCAAATGTGTTCTGTCGATGTGGGGTCAATGCTGAATTGAAAATTTCATGGACACAACTTAATACAGGACGTCGATTTTTTTGCTGCAAAAACACAAAGGTAAGCTTTTTATCATTATTCTAATCTGGTTAAACAAAACGTTGTCAATCCCTAATCATAGTTTAATTATTTTGATAATTTGTGTAGAGAAGAGATGGATGCGATTATTTTCGATGGTACGATGATGAAATACCGCCTCAAGCAAAAAAGATCATATGGGGTCTATTGAAAAGAATCAAATCCTATGAACAAGAGAGAAAGCGGGCAAGAAAAATCAAGATCATATGTGTTATTGCACTCGTGATTTTCGCTATATGGAAATATTTATGTTAGTAGTCTTAGAGTGATTGTATTAGTAGTCTTGTGTTTCTGTTGTACTGCCTCTACCACCATAAAATTTTTCGATAAACTGACCTGGATGACACGTATAACCAACCACCTGTAATACAGTGGAAGTAGAGAAGATAATTTAGTATGACGAAAATACCCTCAACTTATAAGAATTTGACTTTAAACAGATATGTTGATATCCTATTCTCACTCACACTTCTACTACAGTAGAATAGAATATAAGTCTGTGTCATGCACCTCAAGAGTCCTTTTTCTTCGCCAGAAGGCCCACATCTATTACTTATTGGATCATGACCCAAATTATTTTCTCACAATTTTTTATTTCCAAATTCTTTTCTAAAATACTTCTAGTCTACAAAAAAATTGAGTTTTTTGCATTTTATTTTTTCAATCAGAATCATATTTCAAGAGAACTTAACAACTAATAATGGCTAAGATTCACACTGAAATGGAGCAAAAATGTATTTATGTATCAGAGATATATGTATTTGGTGATCAAAATATATGATATAAATGATAATATCAAAAACTCTTGAAAAGATAGATAATTTACCCATAAACTAATGAGCAGGACTGGGCATAAAATATCGAAAATAAAATTACCAAATCGAACCAAAATTTTTTGTAATTCAGTATTCGATATTCGGTATTCGGTATGGTATTTGGGAGTAAAATCTTAGAATTCTGATATTCGGATTTGGATTTGGTATGAAACTTTAGTACCATTTGGTATTTAGTATTTCCCGATAACCCAATAATTTACTTAATGATGGTCATTTAGAAACATGTATGTTACTCGTTAACACAAGTCCAAAGAGAAAGTTAATGAATAAACACAAACAACCCAAATACATGTCTTTTGATTGTATCAATTTGTCATTCTTGATGACTTCTTACTTGTTGATGTTCTATTATATCGTGCATCAACATTTAAAAAATAGAAATAATTGCAAAAATAGTATTAACTTTGTAATACAACCGGCTACAACTTCAATATGGTATTACCGAGTACCGTATCAAATCGAAGTTTGATTTACCAATTACTGAATTATCAAACCAAAGTTTAAAACTTTGATATTTGATATCTACTTTTAACTACCAATTATCGAATCCGAAATTTGACAATTCAGAACGCCCACCCCTACGGTAATGAGATTTGTATTCACCACTTAAAAGTTATGGAAGTTACACGTTGGTATTTAACTTCCACCATAATGGTGGATAATTTTTCAATCCAAGAGCGGGTAATTTTAGGCCTACGTGTGTAATTACTTTTAGAAAATGTACTCATGAATTTACTTTTACTTGTTTCTTCAAAATTAAAAAAAATTATATTAATTTAATATTTAAAAACTATTCAAAAAGGATACTATAAATTATAGTTCTTCTAATATTAATATAATAAAAATAATAATGATCAAAATTTATATAATTTGTCTATCCAAAAGTGACCTAATGGGGTTAGTATCGGTTGGCTCGGTTCGATTTTGAAGTTTATCGGTTCAACTTATGTGTTATCTATTTGTAGACATGCGAAACCATTAAGAACCATTAAGATATTGGCTTATCGGTTATTGATTTGTCGGCTATTGATCGTTATCGATTAATCCGATAAGATTTGACAGAAAAAACAAATGATTGAAAATCACTTAGAAACATGATGGCAAACCAAATGAATCATGTACTTGAGTTGATAAATTGTATCTTGCTAAAAAACATCACTAACACATTGTAGAATAACCGAAAGTTTGAGTTGCTAGAAATAAAAATATGAAACTAAATCCAAAGTCAAGAACTTTAAATACCCAATGATGGTGTAATAAATACAATAAATTACAGTTGAAATAAAATGACAAAAAATGCATAAACAAATCTTTAGGCTGAGGCACGGATATCTCGCTTTCTTGAAGGAGATTTAAGTCCACTGCGGCATAATCTACACCGATCCAGCAATAATACTCTTGACTTGTCCCCTCTAGGATACAACAGCCCAACAACATTGTACAACTCAAGCAACTCCGGATTAGTTGAAGACTCCAAAGCTCCACATAAGTACACCTTCCTTCAACACATAAATACTCTCTTGTATATAGTGAATATAGTTGAAGACTTAGAATATTTTTCTATGTCTCAACTCTCTCTTTCACTACTACACACTACAATAATATTTCACACTTCTCATCTTTTTGAGATACACCTTTCACAAAGGAAGAAACACCACTAATTATAGTGGAGAAATTTTTCTTTGTATTGAATAGGAATAAAGTGGATAATAATGTAGGTAAATGAATGACCTAAGGTTACATAAGTTACAATGTATAATGAGGTAGAATAATGGGTGAAATTAGTGGTAGATCATGACAATAGTGGTTACAAGAGTTGCACCACAATAATGACCACATTCTTGTCAACTTATACCCACTAACATATGCACTTAATATTTTACTTTTAATATTAAAATGCATAAACACCAACACCCAATAATTTAAAAAAATCAAACCATTAAACCAATAACCTATTGCCGATAAACTAATAACTTTTTTTCGGTTCGAATTATCGATGTCGATTCGATGTTGAACCGTCCTACATTATTGAGTATCTATAGTCAAAGAACCTTATCCAATTAAAGCCTAATGGCAAAATTTATTTTTGACATTTTGCATGACTCTATTTTTTATTTTAAAAAGAAGCCTAACTCGTAACAAATCAACTATAGCCATGGATTTATCTGTGATTGCCCTTACACTAGCTATCTCCTTCCTTTCTTTCTTCTACCTTCGCAAGTTTTTTTTCGCAGCTCATACGCGAAATAGAGGTGTACCAGAACCTACCGGAGCATGGCCTATCATCGGCCATCTCCACCTCCTCAACGGATCTCAAATGCCACACAAAATCTTTGGTCAAATGGCAGAAAAATACGGTCCTATTTTTCGATTAAAGCTCGGAGTAAATCAAGTAGTAATCGTGAGTGATCACAAAATAGCCAAAGAATGTTTCACCACAAACGACAGGGCCTTTGCGAACCGGCCCAAATCCCTAGCTTCAGAGATATTAGGCTACAATTATGCCATGTTTGGGCTTGGGCCTTATGGGCCTTACTGGAGAGAGATTAGAAAAATAGTCACTATTGAATTTCTTTCAGCTCGGCGAATCAAAATGCTCAAACACGTTAGAGAATTTGAAGTAAAATTAGCTGTAAGAGAGACTTATGAATATTGGCTGAAAAATAATAGTAGTAGTAATTTAAATGGTGCTGTAAAGATGGAGATGAAGGAATGGTTCGGGAATTTAATTATGAACAGTATGGTCAAGATGCTATTTGGAGTACAATACACAGGTATTTAATTTTGAATTTAAGTTATACACATACATATGACTAAGTATTATTCAAAATTAATAATTTGAATCTCGAAATTCCAACTGCATAAATATAAATTGAGAAACAGAGAGTACTAGATAATAATGCTTTGAGTTCATGTAGTTGTAGAAATTTGGATGTTGAACGAAACCTAAATTGTGGATCCACCCCTGTAACAGATAAGGAAGATGAAGAAAGGAATAAGGCTCAGAAAGCAATAAGAAGATTTCTTGAATTATTTGGGGTCTCTGTTGTGGCTGATTTTTTACCTTATCTAAGATGGTTGGATATTGGAGGACATGAGAAGGCAATGAAAGAGACAGCTAAAGAAATGGACTTTATTATTGAAGATTGGTTAGCAGAGCACAGAAGAAAGAGAAAATTAAGGGGAAATAAATGTGGGGATGAAGATGATTTCATGGATGTCATGTTGTCCATTTGTGAAGACAAAGATCTACATGGTTTTGATGCTGATACCATTATCAAAGCTACTTGTGTGGTACGTTTAAATTTTGTGATCTTAAATATTTCACATGCAAACTAATATACTAACTAATATACTGCTGAAATTTTTGGTTTTGGATTGGTACGTAGGTTATGCTATTGGCAGGAGTAGACACTACTGTTGTAACTTTGACATGGACTTTATCTTTACTCCTAAACAACTACCAATCACTAAAAAAGGCCAAAGATGAGCTAGATACTCATATTGGTAAGAATAGATGTGTCCA